TTGCTGTCAGATGGTATTCCTCTCTTGTTGTTGCGTTATTTTACTTTCTCTAGGCAACCGGATAACCTTTTTTCGATGGCCATGAGATCTGTGTCTGTGTCTCCGTATCCAAGTGCTATTAGATGTAACTGTGGCCTGAACAGTGGTGTTACCATCTAAGTTGATCAGTAGAACTGTGAGTCCTTGCTGCAACGGAGAGATTCTAATTAGATAATCGATTACCCACATTTTTCTAGATAATTAGAGTCTGAATTGAACTTACAGATTGTTTTGCACAGTGAGAATAAGCCCGTATTTTTTTTGTCGCAGAAAAGCTTGTTGAGAGAACATTCCTTCCCATTAATTGATGCCAAAGAAGAGCACTACAAGAAAGCGAACAGAGTATCAGCCGAATTTCTGCATCCAAGTTTTTACATTGGGATTCTCCTGTATCAAAACACAAACACTCCCTAATGTAGATTCCAATAACCTGTAGTAATCTGGATTTGGTACAAAGGTTGTAGTGTTGAGTAACCATAGTTTCCACCAATCAATGTCTGTCTGCAATAGGTCTTGGTATCATAAGTGGACGACATTCCAAGCTGATCCAAAAACCTGTTTGTTTAAAAATCACTATATGAGAAACTAACTAAAGAAACAGGAAAACATTTAGTAGAAGTGATAGCTGGATTACCAGAAACTAAACACAAAGGCATTGGTTACACCATCTCGGCCACTGTTGTATGCCCCTCCTGCCTCGCCAACCCATGCAGTTGCTGGATTTGCAGAGCTCTTGATGGCGCTCTGGAGTTTGCTAAATGTAGCAGCCTCGTCATCAAGATAAGATGGATCAAGGATCTTTTCGATAAGGTGCTTATCAACACCTAAATGAGGGAATAAAATATGTCATATATAACATTTAAGTATAAGGCTTAGGGACTTTGCACATGTTCAGTTTTGTGTCTAAACTACCTGGACCAAGATTATATATGTGGTGGGTGGCCACATCGAGTGAATTGGTTGTTTTGGTAAGGTATTCTTTGAACCAGTTTGCATCGAAGAATCCTCCTGGTGCAATGATTAATGGCTTCGCTTCAACACCCTTGTAAATATCTTGGACCATGTTATGGAGAGTGATTGTGTCGGAAGCATATTGATTGGCTGCAACCCTCGCTCCAACTCCACTTCCACTCAATTCGTTTCCTGACACATTTTGATACATCAAATGTGTAACCTACGTGCTCTAGTTGATGAATCGTTCAAAGCTCTCGTCATCATCATCACAACATATTTATAAATTCTCCGAATAGATACTGTATAAATAAGCAGGCTGCATTGGCAAAACATATGGAGGGTGGTGTTCTTACCGAGCTCCCAACCATGGATCGTGAATCCCTTTTGACAGTATAACGAATGAGAGATTCAGCATTTTTGGAGTCCCAAGCTCCAACAGCAGAACCATCAGACTTTATAGATCTTCCGTTGAGAGCATTTAATCCAAAAATAATGGCAGCCCTGAATTGAAAGAAGGGGCTGTAAGTTCTTCAACTTGTGGCATATTTTTTTAGCATACGAAGTTCAATGAAACATTAATTTGATATTCTTTTACCCAGATTTATTGAAGAAGGCGTTTAGTTCATCCCATCTGGACAAGGGTAGGCACCCCTGAGTGAAACTAAACATTTCTGAGGCGTTATATACAAATGACTTGCAGGGTTGCTGATGATCTTCAGTTTGATAGATGACCTTATCTTGCAAAGTGCCACCCAATCTTATTTTCAATGGTGAAAAAGCTGAAAATTTCCCAGTAAATAGAGGGAAAAAAAAAGTTATAAAAAAAAAAGAAAGTGTATGATTATTCAGAAGAAGTAAATTAAGAAATCCATAATTCATCTATAGATGTTCTAAAAGAATTCATACCTTTAATGGCATTCAAAAAAATGTTATTGCTAATATCCTGCAAAATTGAAAGATCGAACATATCCAGATCATTCATTTAATCTAGAATTAAAATCATCTATGGCATACATTTACATGTAATTTACCTGCCAAAACTAGAATAGAAACATTGAAATTCCTTAAAATGGCAAATAATAAAATTCCTTAAAAAATTTTGTGAGATCACAAACATTTCAACACTATACAAACAACAAAAAACCAGATTCTCTCTTAATAAATTCTGAGAGAGTAAAATCTAAAGCAGAGAATATTAATAAATACATAAATATACGCGGGTGCGCATATCATTCATTTCACATTCAGATTAAAAAACAGCAATTGCCCCGGAACAGAGGACATTAGTACAGCAGCACCCTTATAAGGAACTTCATAAAATTGCAGCCATTAAACCATCTTACATTACCTTCACAGACATACAAGGAGAGAGAGAGAGAGAGAGGCAAATATACCAGATTGAGAAGAGAAGCATGGTCCCAGCTACAAGTCCCATAGTCACACTTCTCAGGTGGCCACCAATCCAAGGTGGCACAGATGAAATGACTATCTATCCTCCCAATGGCACTCTTCCCATCAACTAAAACAGTCCCTTGAACGGTTATTTTCTCTCCTACAGCATGAAAATTCACAGAAATGAAGCTGAAACAAAAAACCCCCACCCAAATACACAAACCCATCTGCAAAACCAAAGAACCCATCTTGAAACTTGAAAGTAATGTTCAAGATCTATGTTTATAACCCTCTAAAAGGGGTGTGAACCCATTTGAAGTGAATCAGTTGGGTAGCTATAAAAGTTGGCATTGGAGACTACAAGAGAGTTTTATACTATAGTAATAAAAGGGCAAAAAAGGAAAGCTATAGATACGATGAAATCGGTCATAAATGTGTTTTCAAAAACAACAGGTAGGACTAGCTTTGTGTTTTTTCGAAGTAGGAAAACAACATCAGATTTGGGTTTGGAACATTTTGAAAGGTTGAATAATGCAAAGGCTGTTGGCAGTGGGCCACTTTCATGCTTTGCTTCAGGGGCGAGTAAAAAGATTGCTGAACAGAAGAGAAAAAGATAAGTACTGTGCTGCAGCGTGTGAAACTGGGGCCCACTGATTCTTGGATAGGGGTTGAGTCAGTGAACATAATGCTGGTTAGCTCTTTTATCTTCTTTCTTCATCCCATTAAACAAAGGATTCGGTGGAATTGAAGGTGCAATTAAAGTTTTTTCCCATTGGAAAACAAAAGATGAGAGAGAAAAAAGAGATGGGCTCACCCAGTTACTGCACATTTTCTGCAAAATGGTTAAACATACTGCCAAATGTATGAGTTTAGCTTTGGAACCGAATTTAGATTTTTTAATCTCCTGGTTTACTTCATCAAAGTCTTACAAGAGATGCCCGCTTACATGTATACACTTATCTTTTAGATGATTTAGTACAATTTGTATTTATGTGGTACTCACGTGTCTAAAAATTATGTGGTTGAAAAGATATTTAGATGTCATAGTAATGAAGATGTTGTGCAACTTAGAAAGCAATGGTAGTCATGCATAGGTTTGTTGAATCTTTTCCCAAAATAGTGTTGATTCATCTTTATCTATAATAATTTTTGAACTTATTTTATGCTTTAATGTTCATTTCATAATTACACACTACATATATTTTTTCAATAGAATATGTTTTTATATTAGAAAAGTGAGTCCAAATTAAGCTTTAATGAAACCAACAATAGGCTGAAAAAAAATTAAATACACCCGGACACTCCTGATCATTGAACTAAAAAAAATGTACGGAATAAGTGAAATAAAATTATGAAGAAAAACATTACACCCTATTGGGTGTAGGGTAAGTATTTTTTCCTTTCATCGTAGGGTCCATGAATTGCTATGTTTTTTAGTTGCAACTGATAAGATCTCACCTCAAGCAATCTCTCTGATACCTTAAATTTAGGGGATCAGGTGAGTTTCTACCCAAAAGAGAACTACCAAATTCATTTCTGTTTGAAAACAAGAACTCCTGTTTGGTGGAATTCTGTTTAGTCAAACCCACCACCTAATCGGGAACTAATGCCTTTTTGTTACCCACTACACCAATGATATGCCACAAATCCTTAAACGAGACACCTATCTTTTTTGTTTAATGATTATAGATATTTGAATTAGTTTATATACACTTCAACTAATCTTCTCTCCAAAAAAAAAAATTATTTTTTATATGGTAACTTGCCCACTAGATTAAGAACTGTTGATTTACGATCGAATGGAATTGAGAACAAACATACCGAAATAGATCCAATTTCTTTGTTTCAACAATAACGAATTATATATATACGACCTTCACAGTGAAATTACTCCCTCTTCTTGTGACTTCATGAGCTCCTCTTATTTTGAGGCATGGCCTTGGGTTATTACATGGACTAATGCTCTAGAGCATTCTATGCAAGTGAGATGGAATGCCCCTTGGTTCTGCTCCTAAGAACTGTTGGGAGAGTTCATAGCAATCCACAAGTTCAAGGGAGTCAAAAGGCAGCATTATGTGAGAGATTCGGACTTATATTTCGTTTAATATATTTTTTTCAGGACTTACTATGTATAAGTAAGTATTCCTTCAATACAGGTTCGTTTGGTAATCGTATTATGAAGGGAATAAATATTGGATTGTATTATTTTTTATTTAATCGGGTCTAAAACTTTGTTTGGTAAACAAATTTGATACCGTATTAATTTTAAAAACGTATACTAATCACTTATAATATATTTTTTATACGATAGATCTGTATTATAAAGATTTTTAAATACCACCAAGAGAGGTGGTATTATAATCCAACTCAAACGTATTATTCTACAAATTTACTATTATAATCCCCCAAGTGATAAAATCAAGTTGTCATCAATGTAACAAATACTGATTGATGGTATTTTTGTTAATTCAACATTAATATGATGAAATAATTCTCTAACCAAATAATCGATTGGATTAAATAACGACTATCCAATGCTTATATTGTGTATTGTCAAACACCAGATAAAATTACGTATTATTATAATATTATATTTAATATTATTTTTTATACATCTGTATTGTATTAAACTGTATTACTTTATCTAATTTATCCATTTTTAATACAGTAACCAAACAAGTCCAACGGGTCATCTGTCGTTGAGGGACATTGCGGGAAAACACAATTTTTTTTTTGCTGATCAAAAAAGGGGTAGGGATAAAAGAGAGAACTCAAAGACCACCCAATAGACCCTTATTGGTAGAATCATATCATAATATTTCTGACCATGCCTATTACACCTCTCAAGAAAGAACTTAATTAGACCACCTTACTCAATGGTTGAAAAAACACATTTGATACAATTGGAAAATCCTCATTATTCACTTACAAAAATATTTTTTTCCATATTCAACAAGACAGAGGCAGAAAGAAAGAGAGAGAGAAATTGAATGAAAAGCTTTGAACATTTTGCATGAACAAGAAGGTCATACCTAATCCATTTTAGTGTATGATATTTGTTGATGCCACAATACAAGACTCAACCAACTTTGCTAGCTAATTATTCAGTGTCCCCATCTTATTGAAATCATCATGATTGTGGGATGGATAATTGTTAAAAAGATAAATTTTAAGGGAGTAAAGTGATTTGATTCAACAAATGTTTCATATTAACTAGGTTACTTGTGCAATGTACGAATATGAGTTGATTTATTGTGATTACAAAATTAAAAAAAAATAAGTGGGTGGTTAACGTGTAAAAGTGGTTAAAATATTTATCGTGGTTAAAAAATAAATATGATTAGTGAATTATAAGATTATCTATTAGATGTGATGAGCAATCTGCGCCATTATTGTGTTTTATTACTAGAATTTTCCTATTTTATTATATAGACTAGTATACCCCATGCAATACACTATACCAAGCATAAATTGTTGATCATTGAGGGATCTCAGCTTTTGTAGTTTGAAGTACTTTAAAATTGTGAAGTTTTCTTTTCTTTTTTTATTTTTTTTTTACTTCTCGGACCAAAAGAAATTGTTTGCCAAGCATCCTATATGCCAAGTTGAAGCATGAGCATTCGATGAAAATAAGGTAAATTATATTTTGCACCTTTAGAGTTTGTAAGTGATTTCATTTTATTCCTCAAAATATCAAATAGGAACAATTTTAAGCCGCTCTTCAATCAAGTCCCTGGTCTACCTTACTTGACAATTCTCATGAAAAAAGCGTCAAGTGAACGTCGCATGATCTAGTCGGGGCTGTAATTTTTACTCAAACTATTGTAAGTGTGTAGTTTGTGTCTTCAAAATGCATGTTTTGTCTCATTTGTAGTAGTTTTTGAACATTTACACAAAAAAAAAAAAAAAAGATTTTTAGCAAATTCAACTCCTGTGCTTATTTGGTCAAAATTATGCATATGACTTATGTTCGTGATTTTAATGTGATGTTTTCTGTTATAATTGCCAACTTAAGTTGAATTGAAAGATAGGTTTTGTCAGTGATTTAATGGAAAGGGGGAGTGGGATGAGACTTAGTTGAAATATATACTAAAATTTCGAGACTTAATTGATTCTATTAATTGTTTTTTTAAGGACCAAATAAAAATCATATGCATAAACTTTAAGGGTTCAAAACATAATTTGCTTTATGAGAATTCAATTAGGGCAATGATGGAACTCATGTGAAGACATGCAGATATCATAATGACTCTAGTTCACTACAAGTTACACTCACATAAAGCTGATGGCACTCTTTGAAACTTAACACAAACATCCACCTTTCATAATGCAAAATATTTTAGTTTCTTTTGAAAGTGGTTGTCTTTTTCTGTCCACCTTCATTTGATGCAAAGATCTTCATGTAGAATATGCCTTTCCCTGTTTGATTAATATATTGATGGATGGTCGTAGATAACAACTGCATTTCAATTGACATTCTTTTCAAAGCTAGAGGGTTGCCAAGAGAGGTCAAACAAATTGAGACAAAAGCACATAAATTTTTAAGCAATATACAACTTCCCTTAGATGTAAGATTAATTTAGATATAGCAACTTGGAAAAACAAAGTTTGAATGGCAATCCCGACCCAATAGGTCAAGATTTCTCTGTTATCTCGTAGTGGCGAGACGAACCCTACAAAAAAGAGGTGTTTTGACGGGACCGATATGCAGACGTACTTAGGTGGGCCCCAAATGCGGATAATTTAGGACAGATTTTATATGGTGATGTGCTTAAGTGAATCCCATACTTGAGAAACTAACTTGACGTGCAGCATGAGCAAGTTCAATACGTGAGAATTTTGCTCGAGGTAATATATATCTTGAGATTAAACTTCATTAGGTTCAATAACACTTGTTTAAGAATCCCATCAAAGAGGTTCTTAAGTTCAATACCACTTGATTACGAATTGAATAGAATAAACCTTTTTAACACAATGTTATACACCATAGCAAGGAATAACTCAACGGTATAAATTCGATTAGGGCGTTAGCTTTTTCTGTAACACTCCTACAACTAGTTTAGGACTCTATTTGCTAGTATCATGGATAATTCCATTAACTTCATGAGCAAGATCATGTCCTTCTTTACAAATCGATAAAAGTATCATGTCCTTCTGTAGGAGAGATATTTTCACAAAATTATAAACTAGATAGAATAATTCCTTTGTACATACAAGTAATGGGTCAATTTCGTATGTTTATTTAATCAACTCACAATCACAGATGAGTCGCAAAAACTTTTGTTAGAATTCGCATCTAAATTTACAAGCAATAGTTTACTCTAAAATTTTCAATTAGAGTACATAAATATATAGAGTGGGGCCACTTCTTGTCACAAACTTTCTCACTAGTCTTTATCCCATTGCAAAGGCTATGATGCTTTCTTAAGGTAAAGTCACCTTCATTCCTTTGGCCATGAATGAGTAAGTGAGAAGTCTCGTTCACTTTTTCTGTGGAAAAACAAAAAACACAAGGAAAAACAAAATGGGTCTCCTCTATTGAGGGTTTTACTAAATTTCTTAGGCACATGATTAGATTGATTATCCATTTACTGTCCTCTAGTTATACATAATATTTGTCCTTTTTGTTGTTCAAGTTCAGAATTGGCAGGATTAGGCGGCTCCACTATTAGTCTTTTAAGCATGACATAATGAACCTAATGAAAGCATTGAAGGCTGACTAACAGATAACCCTTCAAATAATCAATGCTACTAACCCCTTTATTTTGTACCTTTTTTTTGAGTGCGAATCCTATCATGTTATATCTTGATCGGTTCGTTTAATTTTAGAGACACGTGTTTAGTACTAACTAATTTAAATATGACCCAAGTAGTTAACTAGTCCTGCATCATGTCTTAGCAATTACATGTCATGTTTTCTAACCATATCATGTTCAGATAGGCATACATAACTGTGAAACTAGAACCCCTTTTTTATAAAAAAAAAAAAAAACTGCCTCCCATAAATCCCACATAATCTAAAAACCCACTGAATTAATTTGCTTGCAAAACATGGAAAAAAATCTTCCAACTTGTTTATTAGGACTTGATTACAATATTGAAAAAAAAATCTCGGTAACGTACTTCCAAATTATACTACTTTAATGGATATTTTTACAACTTTGTGGGTCTTTTTATTACCAAAAATTTTAAATATTATAAATATTTTTATCTCTGTTGTGGTAACTATTTTTATAACTTTTCTTTGGTACAAAAAAAAATATCTCTTTTGTGAGTATTTTAATAACTATTGTGATAACTATTTTTATCACTGTTTTTAGTATCACAACAGTAATAAAAATACCCACAAATACAATAAAAATACTCATAAATGTGATAAAAGTTGGTATGGTACCAATTTTTTTGTTCTTACATCGTAGATAACTTCTATTTATTATTTGTGTTAACGAATCATGACATGCTAATTTTCAGCCAAATTCGTGTCATGTTAACATGACGTACCGATAACGTCACACCAACCTATTAGATCAATTAATGTTGTATAATAATAAATTTTAATTTATTGCTGAAAAATACATATGCTTGCTGACACAACACACAATATCACACTCAAAGAAAGGGTATGAAAAAAGAAAAGCATAATTAGGATTAGGTGGGCAACATCTTGTTGGAGTAATCTATTTTAGGTGGTAAAGATAACTAGCTAGATGCCCAAGCATATAAAACTAAGGACTAGATTGATTATCCTTGCGAGACAGACTTTTTTTGTGGGTATCAAATCTCAATAAATAATTTCAAATACGAATAAGGGTTAATACATTGGTCCTTAAAGTCCGTTTATTTATCAGTTTAGTTTTCAATATATTAATTTTATTAATTTGTATTTAAATGATTCTTATACAGACGGATCGTTAGTTTTTGATAAAAATAATCACGTGTCATTCTTTCAGACAGATATGAGATAGACTGATTTCTTTTCAGGTACAACCACAGAGAGATCGATGATCAGCCGGTCACCGGCTGATTTCCATTGAGGGAGATGGACATTATGCTGTTGGTGGGGCTGGTTGTGCAAACCCTGGAACAATTTGCGTGCAATAGTTCTTAAGGGGGAATATTGGGCTGAGAGGCAACACCTTGGGCCAACAATTATCATCAATGTTAAGGATGGCCTGACAACAGTCCGGCCCGATCAATCGGAACTGAAGTGTCAATACGGATGTCAGGACCTCTTGGATGCACCCTTGGACACCATTCAGAGATGCTAGGCACTGACCATTCTCTAGACCTCCAAGCCCGCCTGCTTGGCTACCGGGCCCAACCCCATATCCTCCTCGGCCACTGAGCCCGTCGGCTTGGCCACCGGGCCCAACTCCAAATCCACCTAGCCCGCCCCCTTGGCCACCGGGCCCAACCCCAAATCCACCTAGCCCGCCGTCTTTGCCACCAAACCTGCCCCCGGGCAGGTCATGCGCGATACTCAGGGCAGCCAACGTTGAGATGCATGTGGCAATCAGTGCAGTTGAGCATATGGTCGAGGTGGAAGGCATTTTTGGTGAATTTGGTAGGTGGTATTGGTGCTAATTAGTGTTGGTACTGCTTTGAGTGAGACTTGGAACTTGGTGTGAGGAAACATAGGGCAGGGGTGAGGCTTTTTATAGGCAAGGTGCTATAATGTCTTTGAAACTGTTCCTTCCTTTTCTCTTGTAGTTTTCCACAGTTTTTCGGGGGTTTTATTGCATTCTTAGGTCAGTTAAAAGTTTCAGTCAATGTCAATGAATGAGAACATCAAGATACAAGCAGTTAGAGTTCTGCTTAGGGGGTAGATTAAGGAACCTTTAAGACCATTAGATTATCCAAAAAAATAGGGGAGTTTGCGTAGATATCCAGTTATCACTTAAGAGAAGTTTTGTCTGAATAGTTAAGTAGTTGTCTATTCCCAAACATTATGCATAATGGTCAAGTCTCACCAGCCATATAACGGATGCATCAGGGTGGGTACAATAAGAAAAATCATGTTATAAAGTGAATAATTGAATACAAAATCATTGACCACAAATATTAAAAAACAAAAATTAAAAAGAACAAAATAAGAAAAAACTTGGAAAAGAAAAAAATAAACTTTTTTCTCTCTGATTATTTTTTTATCCAAAATTCTAATATTAATACACGTTGACAACTCTATTGATACAATATTATCTTCAATGCCTAAAACTAGATATATCTATCTTATCTCTTCATTCACAATCAAAATAATTTGGTAAAAAATTATTGGTGCACAAAGTAAAAACAAGAAAGAAAAAAAGAAAAAAAAATCGAGAAAAGAAAAATTCATAACCCTTATTATTTGGTAGTTTGAATGAAAGATTTATAGAAAATAAGTTTATTGGATATTTGTAATTATGAAGAGAATACAAATAATTTAAGTATGATAAATACGAGATAATATCTAATGAAACTATATAATTAAATTTTTTTTATGTATTTTATCAAATATTTCAACAAAAAATTTTACGTTGCATTGCTAGTGTAATGAAGAGTTATGAATGACTAGGTGCAATTTTGGATCTTAATTTCTTTTTTAAAGTTAACCATAATATTTAGAAAATGCTTTTGTAAATTACTTTTGTAGGGTCTTCTTTCAGGTTTTTTCGACATACGAAGGCATTGCTTAAGAACACAACTATAATTTAATTCTTGATTTTTCTATGTCAAAATTTCTTCAAAAATGTAGTTTGTGTTTCGTTTAGTAATTTAGTCTTAATTTTTAATATATTTCTTGTAATTGAACTCCACAAAAAAAATTTATTCATATCTTACTCTCGCTCATATAGAATTCTACCCTTGCCCCTGATCATCTGGTTCTAGTTTAAGCTTTTTAATAACGACTAATTGTTAGGCCAATAAGACTCAACTCGAACTTGTTAATTTAGGATAGAGCTTGCTATAGGTTGATATATGTGTTACTTCATGTACATGATGTTTTGCACTATTATCTATTAGAAATCATCAAAAATAGGATAAAACTATGACATTCATTAAAAAAAATGTGGATATCATACTATAACATGACTCATAGTTATAGATTTTGTATTGATTTATTTGTGATCATTGATCTTGAAAATAATAAAATAAAATGAAATAATGCTGGTTTAAGTAGACTAATGGGGTTGTTCACATGTGTCTTGTTGTTTGCGGGGTTCTAAATAATGTAAAATCACTTATAGAAATTTTTGATTTGAACGATGTCATGTATAAGAAAACAGTAATAATCAAATACGAAACAGTTACACAGAAATAGCCTTACACGAACGAATAACATGAAAGAGTTACAGCAGTTTAACGAAACAGTAACAGCAAACAGTTACACGTAACTGTTTGTTAAACTTATATAAATACTAACCCGGTTGCAGAACATAAACTGCTATTATAGTTGATGTAGATTAAAGCTAGTATTTGATACTACATCCTTAAGACGGATTTCGCCCCTATACACGGTGCTTATGGAATTTCGAGTGTTTACCACTCAGGATACAATGATCTTTACACGAGCAAAAGTAGCACTCTAATCTAGTCGTCTAGCGAATCAAAATTGTATTGAATACTCTTCAAATGCAGTGCCTTAATGCCGAAATGCAAACTGTCTTAATGTCTTAATTGACTGATGAACTGAGTATTTATAGACACTTTTGTGATTTTCTAGACAGTCACCATACTACAAGACACAACTCAGAATAAACAAGGCACAATAGCTAGTAGACACATTGAGTAACTGTTCTCCATGAACAGACACCACTTAAAAATTTCGGACTGGAGTCAAAATTTCATATTAGAGTGAAGCAAAAATTCGAATCAGTGGGATCCAATAAGTACCGAAAATAAAATTTCGGGTTAAAAAATTCTCATCCAATTAATTAAATGAATTTTTCCAAAAAAATAGGGTACACCCGAGCCTGGTCTGACTGGACGGGCGACGCGCGTGTGTGGTTGAACCAAAGGCATGTAGGCTCTCACTCCGCTCATAAAACTGTGGTACCTCTTGGAGCCCAATCCCATGGAGTAAACTTAACCTATATATGCCCATGTTGAATTTCTTCCTCAACCAATGTGGGATTTGTGTAAATCTCACATTGCATAACCTTTATTTCCACAAAAGTCATTTTGGAGTCTATTTTTACTAACGTGGGATTTGTGTCAAATCTCACATTGCATAACTTTTATTTTCACAAAAGTCATTTTGGAGTCTATTTTTTCATTCATTTCTTACTCAATTTGAGCAAGTGAATATACTACATTATTCTTCTCACGGAGTAAAATATGAACCCATGAAATTTTATTCGAAACAACGAATGCGTCCTACTTTAATTTAGGCTCATAATAGATCAAAAATTCAATTTTTTCACTTTAAAAATTGTTTTGGTCCTACATGTCTCACATCAATACACATTAGGGGGTTACTTCGATCTCTCAAGTTTTCAATGTGTGTCATTATGGTCCTTCGTGTAGGTAATTTGTATCCCTTTAGTCTCTTATATTTCCAAAGAATATCTCTCAAGTGTGCTCGCGTGGGATGCATGTCACCATCTCCTTTAATTAATTCAAACCGCAAATTTCAATAGTATTAAAATTACACAAATTAAATACTTGAGAGATCAAATTGACACAGTTAAAAGATTGCGACCAAACTAACACAACACATAATTTGGTGGATTAAAAAAATTTATTTTGTCCGTAACAAAAATTGAGTCACTCCAGTACATTTTCCATTTTTAGTGAAGTAATTTTTGCTGTCTCTTGAAATTTTCTTGCTGATGCATCAAAGAGATCGAAGGCCGGGCCGTCACGGGCTTATTTCCATTAGAGCAGATGGAAATTACACTGTTGGTGGTGTTGGTTGTGGAAACCTGGGAACAATTTCTGTGCAATAGTTTATAAGGGGGAATATTGGGCTGACAGGCAACACCTTGGGCCAACAGTTATCATCAATGTTGACGATGGCCTGGCAACATGCCGGCCCGATTAGTCGGAATTGAAGGGTCAAGATGGATACCAACACATCTTGGACACACCCATGGACACCGTTCAGAGATGCTAGGCATTGACCATTCCCTAGCCCACCCAAAGGGTCCCCGAGCCCGCCCCATTGGCCACCAAACCCGCCTCCTAGGCCACCGAGCCTGCCTCCTGGGCCACTGGGCCCTCCCCTGAAGCCACCAAGCCCGCCCCCGGGCAGGTCGTGGGCAAAGATCGGTGCAGCTAACATTGAGATGCATGATGCAATCAGTGCAATTGAACATATGGTGGTAGCAGAAGGCATTGTTGGTGAATTTGGTACTTGGTAGGTGGTTTTGGTGGCAAGTGAGACTTGCTTTGGGAGTGAGGCTATTTATAGACAAGTTGTTATAATGTCTTTGAAACTGTTCCTTCTTTAAAAGACAATTTATGAGTAATTAAAATGCTAGCATATAAATTATGTCAAACAACTTTGAAACTTACCCTTTACAGCTTTTGACTACATGGAGGTAATTCGTTTCCAATCTTGTAATTAAGTTTTGTGTATTTGTGAAACCATTACACTACAGTAAGTTCATAGCGTAAATGCAAGGTAAAAAATACTAGGATCAAGATTTATTTGGGTTGAGATCGAAAAGTTACTTTTCAATACTATGTCTTTTTTTTCCTTTTTTTTGTTCATATTTGTGTTAGCAAGCAGAAACGATTATAAATTATATTTCTCTTCTGCCAAATTATAATGAATTGAATCTGAGCGGTCAACGTACCTTAAATTTTAAGAAAATTGCACTAATTTTTTTTTTCTTTTGTTTTGTAAGGAAGAGATTGATTGGACCATATGTCCAATGCAATATAAAACCTAATTTTAAAACATATAACTCAAAAAACACCTAACAAATTTACCAATTTCCATCATGTTTATATAAAATCTATCATGTGTTACATTCCCATTCTATATTCAACCTCCACATATATATATATATAGTCATAAGCATCGACATATTTTGATGTATGCAAATATTACGTTCAATCCTTATGCCCCATGTTAAATCAACATTTTAAAGCTCTTGGAATTGGGGCTGGCCTAACAACATGTTTAAAAAAGCTTTTTCAAATGAAGGCCCAAAATTTTTAAATACTATAAATAATCCATGTAAAAAAATTATTATAAAAATATAAGTCCAATCAATTATTTAGGCCCATAATCCAATCCAAATATTAAATATTTTAAAAAAATTAATAGTAAAAAAAAAAGCTTGAACTCAAAAGTCGCATCAAATTAAAAAAACAAATCATAAAATCAAATCATTACCTTACTTTGAACACACTCTCTCTCTAAACCAACACAAAAGTAATCCTATATTGGTGGCTTAGATTTCTTAAAATACAAATTTTTTTTGATATTGATGGCTTAGATTTATTTTTAGAGCTAAATATTTTAAAAGAAATTTTATAAACGAAAGAAAATATGCTAGAGACACTAAATTATATAAAAAAAAGTTAAATTCTTTTCCAAATATATGCATTGTTTATATAA